GATTTAATACCTTGTTCTTGCTTTTTTTTTATTATTTCTGCTTTCCATTTGGATTGAAATCACTTTTTGGATCTCTAGGGCCCTGGATTCAAATAATGGCAACACGTGATTTTCAAAGTTAAACTAGCTGTAACAAAGAATATTTAAAAATAACACTAATTGGCACTATTATATATTGTCAATAGTAAAATAATTTTCAAAATGACCAATAATTTGTTTGGAAACATTGAAAAAAAAAGCGCTAGTTGAAGAGAGTCTCACAAGATGTTACCTCCAGTGAAAACAGAGGAGAGACTGACGCCTGTTTGCTGTGTTAAGAGGTTGATGTCATGCATTAACCAGTCACTTTACCTTCAATTTGTTCAATAATTGTTAAAATGACTAAAAATTGAATATTAAACTTTTTTAAAATAATTGAATAGTATAAACTTTTGTTTTGATATTTACAACAGTAAGGAATTTAAGCCCTAGAACCGATTAATGTATTGGCGGACTGATACTAAAGTTGGTTGCCCGGTCAGTGCAAGCAAAAACATGTTGAGGTCGTTCAGAAGAAGTTCGTTGGCTTAAATTTTTTTCTTAAACTATTGAAGATCCTTATGGAAGGCAGTTCGTTAATCAAATTCGTTAACCGAGTTCATATATATATATATATATATATATATATATATATATATATATATATATATATATATATATATATATATATATATATATATATATATATATATATATATATATATATATATATATATATATATATATATATATATATATATATATATATATATATATATATATATATATATATATATATATATATATATATATAAAGAATGGAATTCCCATCACTGTATCATATAGAAATATTTTGTTTAAGGATATCTTACTGGAAACGTTTGGTAGAGAATTTATTAAGGATCATTATGGTATCAAATTCATCTCCCTATCACGATTAGCCATGCTTGAGTGAGGAAGGGTAGGACTGACCATGTGTCCCTACCCCCCAGAAAGGTTCACTTCCGTCAACACACCAACACCACCCACACATCTCATATACACTCCTACGTCACACACAAACACACCCTCCAACAACCACCCACATACCCCCTCCAACAACCACACACACACACACCTTCCAACAACCACACACGTCTTGCCCAGCATCTCGGTGCGGCAGATTTCAAGGCTAGTTCTGGTTGGCTTTGGCGGTTTCGTTAACGCCATGGCATCAGTAATAAGCCCGTGTGTGGTGAGAGTCTCAGTGCAGATCTTGAGGCTATAGAGCCTTTCGTGAGAAATTGAACGAGCTCATTCAGTCTGCCAAACTTGAACAATTTCAGCTTTACAGTGCAGACGAAACCGGGTTATTTTGGAAGGCAGTCCCAATGAATACACAAGCGGAAAAGAAATCTTCTAGCCAACCTGATCGGAAGCTGAATAAACATAGTGTGTCTGCGTTATTTTGCGCCAACGCTGATGGCTCACATCGGTTGAAACCTGGCTTGGTGGGCAAGTCGAGGCAGCCTAGAGTGTTAGAGGATGTATTGCATAAATTACCAGTGTACTATTATAATAACCCTTCTGCTTGGTTCACCCGCAATATTTGCTTGGACTGGTTTCTTAAAACAAGTTGAAATAAGAAAATTTCAAATAGAAGAAAAGTAAGTGAAGCCAGAGGATGTGAAAGCCGTTACTTTGTTGGATAACGCTCCTGTGCATCCAGGTGTTGAGAGCTTGACCAGCAGCGACGGCAAAATTAAGTGCATGTTTATGCCTCCCAATACAACATCTCATATCCAGCCAATGGATCAAGGCATAATAGCTGCTGTTAAGAGGATTTACAAAAACTACTTCATGGATGAAGTTCTCGTGGTGTTAGAAGATGATGACGGGGAGGAGGATAGGCGAGGTGAGCGTACACCTGAAAACATACACTCATATAACATGAAGTCGTGTGTGTTTAATCTAGCCAGAGCATGGAAAAATATGAAGCAGTCAACCTTGCAAAATTGCTGGAAAAAACTTTTGAAAGATGAAGAAGTTGAATTTGATTTTGAGGGGTTTGAAAATGATGATTTTCGTGCACGCTTACGTCGTGCAGGGGAGCATCAAGTTTGTTCTAATGACATCAGTGAATGGTTGGAGGCTGATGATGGCGACCCTGGTTACCAGATATTGTCGGAAGCAGAAATTGCTGCTAGTGTTCAGAATCAAGACGATGATGAAGAATTAGAAGATGAAGATAATGATGATGATGACTGGATCGACCATATAATCTGACACATTGATTACAGCAATGATCCTGCCTTCCATCTGCACTACGAACATTTACGTGCATTGAGAGAGATGCCGATAATCGGTTGCAGTCCACTTGTCATGACAGTAGACGAGAGTGATTCAGATAACTAATTCTCTACATAAAACTACAACACAGTGGCTCTACTGTACATGCATTCATGGAAGGATTATGGTACTGTGAACACTATTCTATTCTTTTCTCAGGTTTTTGGATACTGCTTATGTGCCGTACAGTACTTCATTAATAAAAGTTTTGTTATTAAAGTATTATGTTCTTTAACTTTTCCTATGATTATTCATGGTTTCTGTGCTGGTTCATATTTATTTACTAAAGTGGTTAATGTTTTAAAGCAAATGCTATTTAAATATGAATGGCAAATGAACAAAAATGAATAGAGGGACTTAAATGAGGTAGGTTAGGGATAGGTACTTTAAAAACGTATGTTTTATTTCCGTAGACTTTATTTACTAATAACCAACATTTTGTATTATCCGTCGGCCCCTTCCGCCCATATGTTGGCGGTTAATCGCTCTGTATATCTGTACTGTTTAATAAGTGTTGAAGACCATTGGTGTGGTAAGCACCAACCATCTTTACCAGTGACAGCAGGGGTGCATGAGGGAAGGAGAGCGTTGGCAACTCTGCCCGGAGGGATGGTCAGCTGTTCACACTTTTTAAGTAAGCACTGGAAATTTAATATGATGCAATAACTGATTTGACGATAGATAATACAGTGGATCCTTGCCTTTCGTGGGCTTGCAATTCACGATTTCAACGATTCACGGTAAGCAGATGGTGGTTAGCTTGCGAGCCTTTTCCCGCAGCACAACAAGTCACCCCACACAGCATCTTGTCTTGTACTCTCAAAACTTGTGTGTTTCTGTGTGAAATGGTCCCTAAAAGACTGCTTAGTGTCGGTGCTAGTGGAGTGAATTGTAAAATGCAGAAGTCAGTCATGACCCTGACAGAGAAAGTTGAATTATTAGATAAGTAAAAAGAGGGGATGAGTGCTGCTGGTCGGTTGTTTGGTATAGGTATACAATAGTGCAGTAAGGTGGTACAAGTTGCTATTCGCGGTTTTGCCTATTCATGCCATTCCTTGGAACCTAACCCTCGTTAATAACGGGTTTACTGTACAGTATATTAATAAACCGACAACAGATGAATGTAAATAATATGAGAATTATGATGAAATTGCTTACTGTCATGTTAATAGGGTCAAAGGGGAGTTGTCCAGCCATCCACCCACCCTACCTCTTACCTATCCCACACTATTCATTTCTCACTTAATTTTTCTTATTTCATAGTTTATTTTCTTTACTTCAAAGTCACATTAGAGAATTGAACTTATATTTCCACAAATTTTATGGACTCTTATGTAACAATGGCACATGCACACCCTTCTCACTACTAACAAGGGCCCCTGTGTTATAGTGATTTCTATACCTATTATTCTCTCCCACATAATATACTCCTACACCCTTTATTTTTTCTTATCCTATAACTTTATATTACTGTACAGTACCTGTATACAGTATTTTCTTTATTCATAAGGCACACTAGCACATTTAAATGACTTTTCCACAAGTTCTGTGGTTACAGAGCACATGACAACGGTATTAGCGCTCAGTCGTGTAAGAAATGAATGACATTTGGCATGGTAAAAAACTTAATGCTTGTAAGACACTTTTATGACTTATTACCCTATGGTTATGTGTACATTTTATTATTGTGTGATGTTAATAATACGTATCACATTTGGGTACACACAACCTTATTATAAAACAGTGGATGATGCAGATGACATACAGTATACTGTACATGAAAATTGCACTGTGTTTACTGGTGTACAAAAATACATTCTGTAGTATATTTGGAGATGTGAAGATGGTTCATTAGTTTACAACTAATTTTAATATTGTTATACAGTGAACCCTCACTTTACGCGGTCAATTGAACCCACGGCGGCCTGCGTAAAGTGAGAAACGCGTAAAGTGAACAACATAACATATGGGATTAATTGAAATAGAGACCGGGCCGACCCCCAAACTCCACTTTTTCAGACACAATACGTACGTTGTAGTAAAAATAACTTCTTAATTTTATGATGGTATGCACACACAATTAATAATTAAGAAAAATATCAATAATATTAGGTTTTTTAACACTTACATTAGTAGAAAAGATGGCTGGGCACACGGGGATGGGGGGTTGGTTCCGAGGCAGAGGGCAGATTATTGGCCCTCACCTGTATCACTTGTATCAATTGTATCACTATCCACCACAGAGGCTTGCAGGGCCTCTTTGTCAAACCCCTCAAAGTCCATATAAGTCCATATCCTCACTATCATTATCACTATCACTGACTTGGGCCGGCTGTGGTAGGTGGCGGGTGAAGAACTCGGTAATGTTTTGACGACTGGGCGACCTTGTGCGCACCCTGCTCGCGCCGCTCTCCGCGTAAAAGGGTACACACACCGCGGAAAGTGAGCATTCCGTGTTCGGCAGGGTACCGCGTAAACGTGGAAACGCGTGAAGTGGGACCGCGTAAAGCGAGGGTTGACTGTATATAAATGTAAGTATGATGCTTTATTTAAAATCATAATTCATGATTTATGCTATGATAGTTTTCTCTTGTTTACTGTTAGATTTCTGTGAATGTAATTAATTTATATACAACCATGTTTACTATTTACAGCCTGAACGAATAGACCCCCAAGGTGTTCCCTCAAGCTATGACATTCGCTCAGATGTGTGGTCTCTTGGGATATCTATTGTGGAAATAGCTACAGGTAAATTCCCATACAAGACGTGGGGTACACCTTTTGACCAGTTAAAACAAGTAGTGATGGATGCTCCCCCTCGCCTCCCAGCTGGAACTTTCTCCCCAGACTTCGATAACTTTATAGAGCAAGTGTAAGTTGAATATATATATATTTTTCTTAGCCAAAATGATTAATTCTGTTTGTAATGAGGGGGATCTTATAGTAGGAATAATAGATAGATATTATTGTAGGGGGATTGTAAAGAGAGGAAGTTTGGTAGCATGGCCGGTTAGTTATTTAAGTTATTATATTCGTAGGGTAAATCGTCTAAACATTACTCCAATCCTGCTATTTATTATTTACTCAATGGTATGGACACATAATAGAATCAATATATCAAAGTTACTAGACACTGACTCTCGGACACAAACATGAAATGGATACACTTCCCACCGTAAGTAACTCGTCCTTGGATCGCTCTGACAAAGACTCACGTGTGACCTGAGGGAAGCCCAGCAGGTGCTGTTGAAGGGAGTGCTGGACTATGTCTTCTGTGGGAGACTCTGCTAGCTGGAGACGCAGTGCTGGAGAAGGAAATCTCCCTCTGGGAAGGAGCTGTCCGCTCCTTTCCTATTACAATAAAAATCTGAATGCGACTGTCCATGAGAGGGAGCTGCAGGGCCTTTATATTTCCGTGAGCCGGAAGATGTCTTCACTAATCTGGGTGTGTCTGGTCAGGTGACAGGTGTACTAGCTGGAGGGTAGCTTCTTAGTAACACGGTCATGTAGCCGGGTTAAGCTAATCACGTGGCAGTGAGAGCTCTGGGTCAATGAAACCGTGACCTCTCCTTGGGTCAGGTCTGGACAGCTGTGTTTGCCCAGGTGTAGTTTCTTGAGTAACACGGCCATAACGCTGGGTTAACTCAGGTACCTTGTGACCTCTCCTGGGTCAGGTCTTACTGTCACTGTAGGGTGTGTCAACTTGCGTCGGTTACCATGTGGGCATCTACTTACTGTTATATGTGTTGTATTTCTCTGGGCTGTAAGCTGTGGTCTGATAAACAATCATTACACCTTCCGCCAAGACCAAAGCTTCCATAACAGAGAACTGATGACACATATAGACAGTAACATCAGGTGCAGTATCAAGAATAGCCACTGAGGCGATAAGGCATCCTGACATTTTACAAACAATAACCTCATAGATAGATACTGGTTTGTATGTTTTTCTACTGGCTTAGTTTGATCTGGCAAAACTTACTATACCTCCTGCCAAGATCAAAGCTTCTATCCCAGGAGAAAAAACACATCACAGAAAGAAATCATAGTATGAACTCAACTGAGCTAAAGATCCTACATACCTAGAATAGTACCTGAGAAAAAACTTGCAATTTCACATTCTACAAACAATAACAGGTGTTACATGCCTTTGCCAGCCCATTTCAAAATAATGATTAGCCCAATCAGTAATATGGCTAAAACATTACATTAGGCAGTACAAAACGTTGATCAATTGAACTCATAGAAAAGGTGACTAATCTTTCTTTGAAAAAAACAAAAACATTCTCTGTAGTAAATGTTATCAGATGTCACAATGAAATACTTCAAAAATACAAAAAAATGCACCTACTTCCACATGTTAGGGTTTGTTTGTTTGTTTGGTTTTTTTTAAAGCATTATTCATATACAGCAGCAATACAGTAGGTGTGGCCAAGCATGGCTCACTTTCTCCACCAGCTGGTATCAGGGAACTGGCAGTACAGCGGCAGGGGTTGGTTGGTCCTTCCGATGATCCACTTCTTCATCGTCGACTCTTCTGATATCAGCACAGCATGTCTTATGTCTTTACATTGCACGCTTTTCTTTCTTTAATACCGCACCTTCTGACTTCTTCTCACTGGTTTATAATAATGCATCTTTCCTCTTGCATCAGTTTTTATCACATTCCAGATGGGTTTTTCTAGCCCCATCTGAGTTTCTTCAGTACAGCATCATTTTCATATTCCAGATGAGTTTTTCTGTTCCATCTGATTCTCTCCTGTGCAAAATAATTTTCAGCCAATCCGGCCGGGGGTAGCCGGTCACACTGGGGGGTGCCATCACTCAGGACGACGTGTGGGGCAGATTACATGGACCTGGGTTCGCCCTCTGTACACGAGTATAGGCTGGGTTCTTTACCCCGTCCCACACCCCTGCAGCGGAAATCCCCTCCCTGGTTTGGCTTGCCTGGGTTTGAAGTGTGGTGCTGCATTCCACACGTCTTAACTGCCTAAAGTAGAAAAATATAATATCTCCTTAATCCTTGATCAAGGGAGGATTTGAAAGAAGTATAGTGGTGGGTGTAGTGCTGCATTCATCACGCTGCTTCTCCTCTGCTCGTATGTGCTGTGGTTGAAGTCGATGCTTGGTCCACCGTCTCCTCTTGATTGCTGCTGTGTCGTAAGGCGCCATCATCCTGGCCAATCACTGTATACAGCTTGGACATGTGATGTCAGGTCATGCCCAAGTGAGCTGGTTATCTCCAATATCCAGCTGGCAATGGGGCGGTACTGTGTGGAACATTTGACAGAGAAAGACAATCCTAAAGAAATGATGGATTAGTTGGAAGTGCATCTGTAAAAAATAATATTTACTTTATACATAACGTCAATATTTGTCAACTATGGGTTCCATCGCGACAATGTTCTCAAGGCTGGTTCGGGGGGTGAAGCTGCTCACTACGCTGAATACTATTTCTCAACACACATCAACGAGTACAGTAAAGCCTCCAATAACAACAGTTCGACCAACAACTTTTCATATTTAATACCCTAGTTAATTTAGGACCCAATTCAGTTTACGTCCTTATTTCATTTGTATTTACGACCAAACTATAATAAAATTATAATAAAATTATAATAAAATTACATTTTCATATAAATAATAATTAAATCCTGATATGCATTATTAAAAAAATTACTGCAGAAAAAATGAAGAGCGCCTTGCGCAAAGAAACTGCCTCGCTAATGAGTGGTAATGCGCATCGCCAGTAAACAACAGTCGGAGCTTGGCGGGCCTTTTGTTTTCACGCATCAGAACAGGAACAGGAGAAAAACTATCTCAGGTTTCTTACAGCATTTTTGCATCCCTATTCAACATGAGAAAGAGAGCAAGTGATGGTAGTGTTGTTTCAAAAGCTATTAGGAATTGTATAAGCTTAGCCAAGAAACTAGATGTGTTAAGACGATATGAAAAAAGTGAGAGGTCTGTGGACATTATATGGAGCAAGCAATGAACATATTTTCTGAAGTGGATCCATTAACAGAACAAAGCATTAAAATTTAAATAAACACAAATGAACTCTACATAAAGATGTATTATGAGAAAAGGAAGCAGCTGTGCAAGGTTCTTTCGACAGCTTTATTATTCGAAGGCCTAAACCATCACCTTCAGCTACACCATCAAATTCAGCATCATAATCAGCTTCAACATAAACTTCAGGTTCAGTAACAGTTTCAGCAACAGCTTTATGTAAAGCTACAGCTTCAGCCAGAGTGGAACCTGATCTGAGTAAAAACTCGCACAATACTCAATGGGTGTCCTTATGTTTTAGACTTTACCACCATTGGTGAGTAGAATTTTTTTTTTACATTTGTAAATATTATTTAAAATATATATGAACAGTAAATAAGTGTTGCTTTCATATTCATATGTAGAGAAATGACGATATGTTTTCACATGTACGCACTTACTGTACATACGTTGGCGTTCCAAATCATCTCGCTTTATTTCTTTACCATTAGTGGTTAGCCACTTCTAGTATTCCATTTATTAATATTAAATAACATTACTTAAAACATACATACAGGTATTAAATTTTTTTTATTTAAGTTCACTACAGCTACAACCAGGGTCTTATTTTCTTCAGTTTCTTATGTAGAACCATTGTCAACAGAGCCCAACTGACGCCTAGTTGCTGAGTCAAGCATCTGATGGGCGCACAAAAAACTAGTTCCCTGTACTGCAGGGAATGAATTACCTTCCATAAGAATCTTCAATTCGGTTAACTAACAAAAATTCGATTAACGAAATCCTTTCGAACATCACGTTTTGTTGTGAGCATCAGCTGATGGGCTAGTTTGCCAATTCAGTAATTCAGTAATCTGTTCTATGTTTACATTCGTTTCCAGTGGAGTAAATATCAAGAAAATTGTGCTCTTTAATATTTGTGCATTTTTTATATTAAAATTATTGGTCATTCTAAAATTTTGCCATCCAAGCTCTGTCTACATAAAGTTTTTCAACTATTATTTTTGGCTCGATATATGTAACTTTATTCATTTATTGAAACTCATTTACATGCACACACTGTCCCAAGGGCAAAGCTGTACTGTACATGTAATAAAAATAATGTACAAAATGATTACTAAAATTTTTGTCTTGTGCAAACTATAGCATGTTTACATTCAGATTATTCACTATCTTATAAGAATTCCAGCAATGTGAATTATTTTCTCCCAGGTCGCTTCTATGAAATTTTATAAGCAAAAAACAAAAACTCAATCTGAAGGACATAAATAAACAAATAAATACTTCACTAGACCTTCAGCACTAACTGTCAAACATGTCACTGTCACCCCTCCTCAAGCAAGGGTTTGGTGGTTTTAGGCTTAATGTTTTTATCTTATATAATATCACAGACTAAAGTTAGGAGAATATAATTTGCATTGCTGGAATCCTTCTTGCAAGGCAGCGAATAATTTTAATATAAACGTCATATATTTTGCACAAGAGATAAAAATTAATCACCTGTATCACATTACAGTAGTGATTTAAGAGTAAGAGTGTATATGCACGTATATATATAGTGATTTAAGGGCGATTTAGGGGAATTTTAGGAGTGTTTCTGACTTTATGCGTTTTTTAGTTTACTTTGTATGTATTTTTCTGTGAGCTGGAACCAATTACCAAATATCCCATTGAAATAATGGATTCAGTTAACGAACGACTCTGTGGAACTAACCGAGGGACCACTGTAATTTTAATACAGTATAAAAAATGCAAAAATATTAAAGCACAACTTTATTGATATTTACTCTACTGGGAAAGAATGTAAACATAGTACAGATTACTGAACTGGCAGACTAGCCCATCAGCTGAACAGCTGATGCT